TTGTAGATTTTGAATTTTTTTTTTCTTTTTAAAAGAAAAGTCTCCCTCACCTTCTTTGGGTAACCTGTGGAATTTGCCCAGGACAACATCTGGAAGTAACTGGGCAGATACTTGTCTTTTTTTAAAGCAGCATATGACAACACCAGTTCTAGAGAAAATTATGCAAGCTGTTTTTGTCATGTTAATCATTTATTGAAATTAAGGAGAAAATTATTGCAATTTCTATTCCAGGAAATGAAGCAGGCACTGAGTTAATCAGATTACTTCCAGGTGAAAAAGGAAATAAAGGTCAAGGTTCTTAAATTAGGCCATCTGAGAAGGTTATTATATATACGTATATGATTATCCTATAAGATATGAATTTAAATGATTTATGTTTTTATTTCATTTTAGCATCCAGGGAAGACACACACTCATCATGTCATGTTTTTAAAAACTCACAAAAAGAAAATTAATCTTATTATTATCTACTTTTTAAAGTAGGGAGTAGGGAAAGGAACTTTACATATTATTTCATCAGTTTTTCACAATGATTCTGATGAGTAGGCACTGTTGCTGTTTTACGGCTAAGGAAACTGAAGCTCAGAGCAAAGTAACTTGTTCTGGGACCCACATTTAGTGCAAAGTAGATTTGGGATTCAAAGCCAGGTCTGTTGGACTCCAAAGCCAGTGCTCTTTATGCTGTTTAGTGTCAGGGTCATATCATCTCTAGCAGAATCCACCCTGACCATGTTTATGAGTAGACTGCATAACTATGTGGTATATATTTCAGAGCCATAAGTGTCTGTTCCATCTGCAGGAAAGCCTGCCTGGACGGCACATTTCCATCATTGCTGATGACCCTTCTGCAATGGAGTTGGACAGAGGCATTCAGACCATTGCTACACTTAACAGCTAATTGCCACAGTCCTGGCTCCTACCCATGTCCCCGCCCCGTTCCTCCCAATGCCTCCAGGATGCATGATCCTGAAGGTGTGAGCACTGTTCTTGGGCTGGGGCACAGTTTCCAGCTTGCCTGCTGCCCAGTGTCTAAATCTTCATCTAATTTTTTTTTCAAGTCTTGGGATTATGTTCTCATTCTCATAAGCAGGCCTAGAGAACAGCCAGGAGACCTCATGGTACAGGAGACAAGCACTGTTGCTGAATGTGCCTGTGTGACTTGCTGGTCTCGTGGCTCTAAGGAGTCCATTAGCTGGCAGAGCCTCAATTCTTTCACTAGCAAAAACGGGGTAGTAATAACCCTTTTTTTTTTTTAAGGGTGAGACTAAGACTCAGGTGATAGTAGTATCTGGGAAAATGTAAACCATAGGTCTTGTACAAATGTAAGCCCAGTGGATGTAGGAGAATGATCGCATTCCCTGGAAAATCTTTCCTCCAGAAGGGGCGGAAGTCAGCGCACAGGAAAACATGAGCTCTTTCTGGCCAGCCAGGCTGTTTCACTAGAGCAGCTTGGTCTCTGTGCCCCCCTTTTTCTCCTGAATAGCATGACTGTGTTTCTTGGCTTGGATTATTGAGATAATTGCTCCCAATCTTCCCTTTCCGATGAGCATGAGCTGTTAGATGTGAGCGGCAGTCTCTGGCTGACACCTTCCAAAGATTCTGATTGGGCAGATTGTGTTCTGCTCAGCTTAATTTGCTTGCTGGCTATGTAAATACTAGGGTTGTTAATTTTCATTAGAGGATGTTAGCCAAGAAACATTGTATTTTTAAAAACCCATATATTAACATGGGGAAAAAAGTAAAAGTAAACCAAGCAAAATTTAACAATTTTGATGTCCTAAAAGCTTCCAATGAAGATTAAAAAGCCTCTAGTGTATGTTTGTTCAATAAATAAGACTGTTGTTTTCAGTTCTTTTTGAAAGTGGGACCTAGATCTTAAATGAATAAAAATAAAATTTTCATTTGAGAACAGAATAATCTGAACAATTAGAAGTTGTCAATGTTGCTGTCATTTAATAGGTTTGGATTTATTTGCAAGACAGATTTATTTTCCTCCCACATAGACTTTATGCCTTAAATTTATTTTGTGTTTATATTTTCTCATTGTAAACTTTCTTTAACTAAAATATACATATGGTTAAGTGCACAAATTGTAAGCGTACTGCCCAATAAATTTTTACCCAGTGAGCACACCTGAGAAACCAGCATACAGGTCAAGAACCAGAACATCACCAGTACCCAGAACGCTGGCCCCAGGTGTCCTCTTCCATTCACTAGTCTCTCCTCTCAAGGGCAATCTCTAGGGTGACTTACAATACCATAGCTTTGTTGACCTCTCTTAAAACTTTATGTAACTGGAATCTTAAAGTATGTACTATTTTGTATCTGTCATCTTTTGTTCAACATGATATGTCAGAGATTAATCCACATTATGTGTAGCAACTGTCTGTCACTTTCATTGTGATGTAATATTCACCACACACCACGATTTGCTTACATGTTTTACTACATAAGGAATGTGAGTTGTTTTCAGTTTGGGGCTATTTTGAATAAAGCTGCCATGAACACTTTTGTAAAGGTCTGTTGATGAATGTATGTTCCCAGTATGGTGGAGTATATAACTAGGGGAGTAATTACTAAACTATAGAGGATGGGTATGTTTCGCTTTAGTAAGTGCTACCAAATAATTTCCTAAAGCAGTTATAGCAATTCACATCTCCACCAGCAGGTAGGAGACTTCCAGTCACACCACATCTTAGCTAATGCTTGGTGTTACTTGTCTTTCCCATTTTAGCTCCTCTGGTAGGGATGTGGTAGTGCCACATTGTGGGTTTGTTTGTTTTTGTATTTCCTAGGTGATGAATGAAGTCAGGAACCTTTTCGTATGTTTATTGGCCATTTGGATGCTCTCTTTTATAAAGTGAATCTTCAGTTGTTTTTCCTAGTCTTTGCTATTGAATGATCTGCTTTTTTCTTACTGAGTTGTAGAAATTCTTTATATAGTCTGGACATGATTTTTTTGTTGAATGTATGCATTATGAATATCTTCTTCCAGCTTCATGTTCTTTATGGTATATTTTGATGAAATACATTATTCATTTTAATGTAGTCCAAGTGTTAATCTACCAATTTTTTTCTTTTACAGTTAGCACTTTTTGTGTCCTGTATAAAAAATCGTTGTCTATCCTAATTTTTTTTTCCTGGAAGCTTTATTGTTTTACGTTCCACATTTAGATTAGTAATCCATTTGGAAGTACTTTTTGTATATAGTGAGGGGAAGATTCTTTTTTTCTTCTTCCTGTTTTGCCATCCAGTTCACTTACAGTCTTTTGTTGAAAAGACTGTTCTTTCCCTATAGCTCTGTAGTGTCACCTTTGTCATAAATCAAGTGACACACATATATATGTGGGTCTGTTTCCATGCATTAAAATTTGGAGGTTCCACGAAGTAATTGGTACTACTTTGAGTCTGATTTTATAGAATAAGTGCCTAGTGAGACTCTTGGCACAGGTATGGATGACTAAGGGAGGCTCAGGCAAGATGGGATGTCCAGAAAGTTCCCAGATATAAAACCCACCAACTCACAGACTGTATTTAGGTATATTTCTCCAAATAAAATAACTCTAATGGAATCATAGTTTATGTTGGTTAATGCTCCTCTCTATTAGAAGATAGATATACCATCTTGGAAAGAAGAAGAAATGGAATTTATAGGAACGAGATACATAGTTTCAAGTTAAATACAATTTCTCACAAGATTCAACTGACAATGATCATTACTTTATCTAATGCCAGTTGTCCTCATAATAAGGGAATGCTTTCTCTCAAAATAGGCTTAGCTGGTGCTTACTCTTGGGGTTCATCACATCTGCCTGATTGTTGTGCTCAGGAATTAGATACCCAGAGCCTCTAATTGCTTGCTTATTTTAATGACTCTGTGCAAGACCTTTTGTTTGTGTTCAGCTACTTCCAGTAAACTGAAAGCATTTGGATCCTAAGGCAGTTGGGTCTGGGTTGCTGCTGAGGAGGGTTTCCTCAGGTGGATGAGCAGCCCTTTCCAAGGGTCCAGCCCCACTCTCCGTCACTGGCAGATCCCCAGCCCATCCAGATAATACATCTCCTTTCCATCAGGGATACCCAGGGAGGTCAATGAAGTGGAATTTCTCCTTCCTAGGGGACTTGAACCTGGTCCAACCACTCTAATCTTAGAGAGTTACACCATACTGGTCTTCCCCTCTCCTGGGCGACTTAGAAGTCTGAGCTGCCATGAATGAGAAACATTGTTCAGCAAACAATGGAACAATAGCTCCTTTGTAAGCTTCCATTTGGTCAAGGAATACAGTTGAGCATCTTCTATGTACCAGCACTCAAAATTCATTCCCAGACCTTGAGGGCTTAGATTACTTCTGACTGTGTTAAATGATAATTTCTGCTTAAACTTGGGGCCCAAGAAAAACCTTACTAATGCTTGACTGCCTGACCATAATTCTTATCCGTCGCTATTCCCTGCCAAGGCCAGACTTAGCTGAGTATTTGGTGATATGTCTCACCTGTGTATCCCTCTGTTGTACCCCTTTTGTACTTCCATTGTGACTTGAGCTCATCGGTGGCCTGTTAACCAGGATGATTCCAACCCAGATATCAGGTTTTCATACTAACATCTAAACTGAGCACCTTCTGAAGCCCAGATTGTCCTACCCAAGTTGTTAGGTATCATGAGATGCTGCTCTGCTACCCCAAGATCTGCCATCCAGCTGGGGACAGAACAGTGCCCTTGCCAAGAGAGAATTAAACTTTTTCACATAATGTCGTCCACCTGTTGAGAACCTGGGTTCCCCCATGCCTGATGGCAAAAGGTGTACAACAGTGACATGCAGTTAGGACTGTGGTTTATAATGTCTCCATAATTGTCATGTCTTACTTCAGTTAGCAGAGTCCGATCACCACAAGTCTTTACCGTTCCAGATGTTGTATAGCTTTTCCCTCACCCACACTCATTTTCTCTCCGTGTACACAGAATGGCTAGAGATTTTATTTTAGGCTCTTTAACTTCTGTTCCTTTAACATGGGCATTTAAAAAAGACTCTTCTGTTTTATTTGTTATTTTTTTTTTTACTGATCTTTGCACATTTAAAAACCATTGTGAACCTGGAGATATTAGATATCATTAATCCAGTCTTCTCATGACTAAATGATATTGTGAGATTTCTCTCCCTGGAGATATTTTTAAATGTCTTTTACAATCACAGGAAGTCAGAGCTGGAAAAGAACTGAGAACAGTGTGAGGCCAGCAGATGAGGAACTTGAGATTCTGGAGAGGTGATGGCTGGATCACACGAAGAGAGTGATAAGATCTCAGGTCTCTGGACTCCCCAGACTGGGGGTCTTTGTGTAGACAAGGCCACTTCCAATTTTGCTTCATAATTGTTACCCAAAGACAGCTAGGAATTTCTCAGAGAATCTGTGAACGTGCTTGTCATGAAACATTAATCCATGCCAGGACTTAAAGTAACATAGATCTAGCCAAAATGTACCTTGGGCAAGAGCCATGAATCCCAGTGGGAGTGGGCTGGGGTAAGTAGTTATATTAATAAAACCTTTCCGCATGAACCGTATGAGTCAGATTCAATATATGCATACCGTCAAGAAGTTACACACAGAGGGAGTTTAATTTTAGTTCAAACAGATCACCCATTTGCATCTCCCTTCAGAAATAAAGGGGGTGGAAGTTGTTATGTCTTTCAAATTAGATTGATGGCTTTAAAAGGGAAAACAATCTGGAGGAGGGTCCTTTTCCTTGTGGACTGCTGCCTTGGGTGCCATCTACTTCCAGCGGGGCTTGGACTTCCTGGCCAGTAGAGGTGGACGTGGAGAGTGTGCCTTTTCTCCATGTTGCCTTAGCTGTGCTCAGGAAGCTCCCCATCTGCCCCTTTCCTCTGTGAGTACTGCCCCAGGCTCTTTCCTGAGGCCTGTTGCTTCAGGCTGGTTGACAGCCAGGCAAGGGTGGCTGTGGCTGTGGGCCTATGGGAGCTTCCTGTGCTGGTTGGTATACAGAATTTTCCTTAAGGAGAAGGAGAACCAAAGGAGTCAGCCATCGTCCTGCTCCTTTGAGCTCCCTTCTGCTCACATCTCTCCAGGAAGGCCTGCAGCAAGAAAAGAGGCTCAGGGATGGGCCTTGACGACTTCAGAAATAATTCTGCCGCCCACACTCGGGGCTTGTTCCTGCTGCATCCATGTTATCTCCACACCACCCTCTGCTTCTTGAGGTCCCAAGCATGGGAGTCTGTGGGCAAATGAGGAGGATAGAGAAGGTGGTGTATTACAGCCTCCTGTGGGCTTTGTGTCTGCTGACTGTGGGGACCCCAATGGAGCCTTGTGGGAGAAACAGCCCACCATTCCTGGGACATTCCCAGTCTAATAGGGAGATGATAATCACCTGTGTGGTGGTCGCCTGTGCAAAGCAGTGCCTGAGCTGGGGGTCGCTTTGTTACCTCCTGGGTGCCAGTGCCAGTCCTAGGGAAATGCAGCAGTGAGATGAAGCTGGATCTGAGCTGAGACAGGGATTCTGTCCTCTCTGGACAGGCCATTGTCCATGAGAGGCATTCATGTGTTGATTTGCAAAGTGCTCCTGAGCTCCTCTTTGGGGATTTTTGTCCGGAGGGTATCTCCATTCCTGGAATTCACTGAAAGCTCCCTGACATGCCCTCTGCAACTCATCATGTTAATGGGAAGGGAGGGCTGAGGTTCAGCCAGGATGCCCCACCCCAGGAGCGTCAGGATGGCTGTATTGATTGCAGAGTCTGATGGAAGGTTACGGCCATGGATGGGGGTTCCCTGATAGTGGAGGAATAAAGCTCTGGCCCCAGAGCCTGTCTTCTTAATTGGGCTCCCAGCCAGGGTTTCCTTATCAATTTCCTACTCCCCTGAGGCCTTCATGCACACCCAACTAGATCTGGCTTTCCTAACACCACTTAATCAACCCCCCCCTCCAGCTGCTTAGAAACCCTTAATGTGGGTCCTCTTGGCCTGGACTCAAGGCCCTGTAGGATCAGGTGCATATCCACAAACAATTGCCTTTACAACCTTATCAATGAAGAAGCCTCGCCTTTGCAGCAAAGCCATTGTCTAGTCAGATGGGGCCCACTCACAGTCCTCTGAAAATTCCACCTTCGTTTGTATCTTGCTGCCTTTCCCCAGGTTGTCCCCGTGTCTTCTGCTTCTTCACCCACTCATATCCATTTCCTCCTTCAGTACCTGGCTCTTTGGCCTCCTCTGTTCATCTAAGCATACAATTGCCCATTTCACTATTGTGTACTAAGTCCCCAGAGGCCAGGAACCCCAGTAACCTGCAGTGTGAGGCTGGGTGTGATTTGAACACAGACTACTTCCTGGGTGAATGGGGAGAGATGGAGACTTGAAATAATGAACCCTCCATGGGCCACTTAGTATTATTTCCTTGTTGACCTAGTGTCTGTACATCCATTTGCAGTGAGGTCTGGAATTGTTTAATGGGGCAGAGGAGATGGAGGCAGATGCCTCAGAAGTTTTTCAACAAAGCAGTGGTCAAGAGTAGGGTTGAAATGGAGAAGGTGCTAGAGGCAAAAACAAACAAACAAAAACAAAGAAAACAAGAAACTGGATTTAACAAGCCTTGTTGATGGAAGGTGGGTGTACTGGGTTGAATTAAGTGTCTGCTGAAATTTGATGTCTACCCCAAACCTCAGAATATGAGCTTTTTTGGAAATAGGGCCTTTGCAGATGTAATTAGTTAGGGAGAGATGGGGTTGTACTAAAGCCAACAACTGGTGTTCTTGTAAGATGAGAGAGGGAGTTGTAGAGAGGAAGGCTGTATGAAGAGGCGGGCAGAGATGAGTGATGGAGCTACAGGCCCAAGGGTATCTAGGATTCCTGGGTTACAACAGAAGCTGGGAAGAGCCAAGGATGGAATCTTCTATAGAGCCTTCAGACTTTGATTCTGGACTTTTGGGCTGAACTGCGAGAGAATACATTTCTGTTGTTTTAAGCCATCCAGTTTGTGCTGATTTGTCTTGGCAGCCCTAGGAAAGGAATACAGTGGGGTTCAACATACATCTGGGGCATATGTATCAGAAATTCAAGGCATCACATTCTTGGATGACAGATTATCTGTGTGTGTGTGCAGCACATTGTGATTCCATTTATGGTAAGAAGTTTGCACTTGTCATTTGTGATGCAGTTTTGCCAAGAACTACACAGTAACAAAGTCACTCTTGGAAGCCCTTAGTCACCTGAATGGAGGTGGTCTGTGAAGCATTTTGGCATCTTGAGTGTGATGGGGAGCCATGGGCAGAGCCATCTCTGCGAGGTACAGGAAGGAGAAGTCACACCAGGCAGGACCTCATGGTCTCATTTTTGTGCAGAAGAAATCTGGTTAAAATGGTTATCAGGAATAGGGACTTCCTCTCTTCCTGTGTGCTGGGAAGAGGGCAGAGAGAAGGGTGATGGAGAGTGTGAAGAAGTGGATGGGATGTGGGTTTGCTTTGATGCAAGTGAAAAAAATAAAAAGAGGAAAAAAAGTGCTAGGCAACCCAAGTTGGCTTTTGCAATGAGTACCATGTAAAAGAACTGCCTTCTTTTTCTGGGCTACCAGGCAGCTCTGGCTGTCTGTCCCCAAAGCAGCGAGAATCCCACAAAGCAGAAGGTGGGACAAGAGACAGCTCTGCTCTTGGAGGATGTCCTTAGGCATCATTGCAGAGCCTTCTCACATCCCCTTCTCAGTGTTAGAGGTCGTGAGGTGTCATGGGATGCATGCTGGAAGCCTGGCCTGGTTCCACTCATTGTCACTGTTCTCTTTGAGCAAGTCTGTCTCCCTCTTGGAGTCTTGGTCTTCCTCCTTTAATAGGATGCATATGACGTTGGTGTGAACATTGAGGAAGAACTTTGTGAACCTTAAGATACTAGGTAATATTGTGTCTTCGAGTCCTCCCTAGAACTGAGCAGGATGATAGGGTGGATTCCTCATCCTTTGGGGTTCTGGGGTTGCTCACAGACTGTGTGAAAGGTAATGCAGGTGGGGATTATGAAAAAGTTCTGGAGATGGTCATGTTGGTTGTACAACAATGTGAATGTACTTAATGCCACCAAACTGTATATTTTAAAACGGTTAAAATGCTAAACTTTTCGTTATATGTATATTTTACCACAAACAAAAAATCACAAGCACCTTCCTCCCCAAAACAAAGTAATGCAGATATCAGACAAAGCTGATATTCAAGTAAATTTCACACTCTGGGTGTCATGGGTGATTATTGCAATTTCTGGTAAACACTCACTATTTACAGTGATTGTGAGGAATTAGCCCTGTTTACTAGGACTCAATTAACGCAATATATTATCCTTTCTTTGGGATGGCTTTAGAAGTTCCCTTGGGGGAGAGTAAGTTAGATCACAGCGATTAGATTGAAATGGACCGCAAACCGTGCTTACTAGCCTATGATCTGAGATCACCTCGTTGGCTCTATCTCTGTCCCCAAGGTTCTGCTCCCTCCTCGGCACTACTCTTTCCTCTTTCTTCCTTCCCTTTGGCTCACTATTTACTTTTTATCCCGTGGATGGGATAAAGGATGGACCTGGGTTTGCATCTGTGGCACAGATACATGCGAGTGTCATGTGGCCTCATGCACTTCACCAAAAACGTCCCGTGCTATCACAGACCCTGGTCCTCTGGCTCAGACTTTGCTCCTAGAAGTGAGAGCTATTGGCACACTTCCAAGAGCATTTCATTCTCCAGGCCTGTGGGCATCTACATCAAAGCCTCACAGCGTCACCTCCCAGTTTTCTACTTTCTCAAGCCCTGAGTTGCTTCTGAAGGTCAGAACCACAGGTACCACCTGATGGCCTCTCTGCTTCTCAGGAGGCCCCCTCAGGCTGAAGGCCCAGAAAATCACTCAGAAAGGGGCTGAAAGATGGATATCATTTGGATTGAGAAATTGTTTCTTTTAGGCATCAAATAAAATGTTTAAAGTTTCATGTTCAGATATTAGGACCTGTCCTGTGCCTCCTCCAGGTCATCTCTGACAGTGACGCAGAACTCTGTTGAATGCAGGACTGCCTGTGGCGCTGGGCGATGTGCGTCGTGCACAGATGTCAGATGTCCTGGCTGCACGTGTGTCTGTGTTCAGGGCAGGTAGCCCATCTACAAAGAGAGAGTAGGGTGGGAAAACTCAGTGCCTTCCTTTTGGGCTGCTTCTTGTTGAATTTTGCTCCACAGGTTGGAGGACAAGATCCAGTCCTCCTAACTAGGCCTTTTAGAGTCTGGGTGGCCTGGATGCTCGCTGGAGCCTCGGAGGCTCCAAAACAAGGAGCTCACTGCCTCATGCAGTCACAGAGGCAGGAGTAAGAGCCAGTGTGAAGGTGCAGGAGTTGGAAGGAAATTGGAAATCAGCTCCTTGTGGTCCTTCACATTGAGATTCGCAAAGGAAAATGAGATGTCTCCTCACTGAAAGGTAAGAGTTTAAGTTTATCTAAACTGAATATTATAGTCTGTTTTAGCTGTAGCAGCATATTTCCATAATGTATGTAAATTATATTTGGATTCTTGTGAATCCATGCTCTGAGGCAAAGCCAGACACCTAATCTTACTCCTGAGGCAGGGCCTTCAGAGCTGGAATACTGTTTAGTGCCCTCTGAGGGAGCTATTATCAAAGTTTATATGATGGCTAAAATTGTCTGTTAACTAGAGAGACACTGACTACGGTTTCATCCTTTTGCTCCTTAGCAGGATGGAGCCTCCTTCGTGCCCAAGATGCCCTTCCTCACTGCAGGTGATTCCAAAGGAGAGCAAGAAGCATGCCCTCCAAATACCACCAAAGGAGATAAGCGTGCCTAAGGATGAGCGCACGTTCGTGTGTGGGATGTGTCTGCTGCATAAACAATTCTTCATGAGTACGAGAAGGTGCCTGATGGAGTGAACACCGGTGCCTCCTTCTCACACTCCAAATCCCCAGTCCCTGCTGCAGCTGTGTGCAAAATCACAGCATCCTCACCAGGACTGTACAGGGAACAAAGGCAAACCACCCACAGTCCCCTCCACTGTATTCAAAACACGTCATAAATAAGATGACATTTGAAGATGAGAAGGGTTTAAAAAAAAAGCTCTGGCATGACTGTATGAGTGCCTAAAAGTGGGTGTTGGCTAGAGATTTCATGTTCTCACGAGCCTGGGGTTTGGAAGCACTCTTAGCACACCTCTTTAGAGAGAAGATGTAAAGACATGAGCAATGGACGCATCCATGAAGAGCAAGCAGCTCCTGCATGACTTGCCGATGGAGGGTTGACCACTGCCACAGAGGGGAGGGACCATGGATTCCATCGTAGGACACTTGAACCATCTTTTGTGTTTCCCGAATCATTAAAAATAGAAAGGAACCACCATGAATGGAGTAGATGAAGTCTTCCAGAGAAGAGTGGCAAAGTTTGTTCTGACAAATCACCTAGCAAGCGATGTGAAAGCAGTCTGGAGAACGATGCCCTCATCTAATGCTGCATCAGTGTGTGCCTCCTGTAGCCTAAATATGTTGTTGACATTAAAATAGATTTTTGTTAGTGTTCTTTATAGATAGAAATAGAGAAAAATAGGTTCTTAGACACAGTGAAAAATAGGTTTGAGAATTGGTGCTGCATAAGGAGTAAAAAGAAATGATATAAAGGTAGAAGAAGAAATGTATAAATATTACCACAGGACACTGAATTTTAGGGCCTTTACTCAGGGATTGGGAAAAATTGGATAAGTTTATAAAAGACATTGAGACGCTGTAGAAAGAAACTAGATAATGTAGAGGAATAATGTCCTTTTGGGAGTTTAAGACAAAACAAATAAGTTTTCAAGAAAGGAGTATCTCAGGATCTTAAAGAACTATAAAGTGTAGTTCCATAGCTTAGAAAGATAACCCATTTCTGGGAACCTTTATCTCTATTCCAGACAGTGGGCATGTTCTTGGTCTGATCAGGAAGATCCTGAGACAATTTCAGAGGATTTCTGGCTGAAGAAAACATACTGATGACCATCCTGATGAGCTTGGGCCCTTTAACATCAGAAGTCCCCACCCCTGGGCTGGGTGGCCCTTGGCCATGGTCCTCATATTTTAACCTCCAGGCTAGCTCTGGGCCAACCTCCAATTCTGTGCCCCTCCTTCTGAGCTTCCCTGCACACAGTCTTGCTCCTGGGTCACCTGACTGAATTGTAATACCTGAGAACTTGCTCCCATCTCTGCATGACCAAGCCTTGGCCACACCACTATTTCTGTTGATTTAGTTGCAACATCTGCCCCCTGCTGGGGTGGTCATAGCTTTTGTAGCTTACAGATATCCAGCCTGAACCCAATCTCTTCTGTTCTGAGGAGCAAGAAGCACTGTCTTTTGGATTCACGGCAGAACTCACACACTTACATGAGCAAAGTCAGTTTCCATATCTGTCACTGCATCCATACTGGAAGTGGCCTTGGTCCAGCCATTCCTTACCTCTGTTTCAGATAAACTCAGCTGGCAAGTAAAATCTTGGTGCTCTTCCTTCAACTTGTCAAGATGAAAATGAAGCGAAAGACTTTATCGAGAAATGGAGAACCACATGGCTGGTCCTTGCTGCTGCATGAACCTTGGATCTTGAGCTCAAAGATGATAGTGTACATGGAGGTGGCACATCTGCTACATTTGCCTGGCACACCTGTAAAATAGGCAGCATATTTCAGCCTTCAGTGTTAGGTTAGTGTTCCCAAATATAGACTGAAAAGATCCTCAGGTGTTCAATTCTAACATAGAGCGAGGATTCTGTCCTGCAAATGCATCCTGCAGCATTGGGAAAGGATCCAGTCTTCTGTGTCTCCTGCTTCAAATCTTCCATCTTCTAGAGGCTATAGAAAGATGTGGGGTTTACATCTTGAAATATGTGCCTTGAACAAGAATAGCTAACATGTAGAAAACTTGTCTTATTTTGAACAACTTCTCAGTTTACAGAAGCCTATGGAAATATCAAAATAAAGCATCAGAGGAAGCAATAATCTTAGAGGTCATTAACTAAGGGGATAACCTGCAAAATAAAGTTCTTTGTGGCCCAAACTGCCTTTGATTAGTTTGGACTTTTATTTTCCATTCTTTCCCTCTTTTATATTTCTCTTCTAAAATTACATGCTCTTTCATGATCTACTTAATATTGTGAAAAATGCTCAGTCCAAAAATTAAGATGGCTTTTCTTATTTGCACAATAAACAAGTAACAGTGGTGTGGTGGAGAGACCTTGGGTTCCAGTTCTGTCTTTGCTGCTAACCTGGCTAACCTTGGCCTTGTCAAGGCCTCTCTCTGGACCTCTCTTTTTATATATGTAAAATAAGAGTGCTCTCAAGAGTACCCTTCTGGCTCTAAAGTCCATCAACAGTGTATTGCTAAAGGTTGCTTCTGTTTAGGGATGTTTCTAGATTTCTCATAAACTGTCAGAAGAGCCAGAATTCAGAAGGAATGGAAATTCGTGACTCCATTTGCAACAATTCTCAAAACTTGAAAATGTAAATGTAGGTAATTAATCTGTCATCATTGTCTGAATATATTATACTTAAAAATACTGTATTCTAAAATATAATCTTTAGAAAAACAAACCTGTTATGGAAAATAAATAATTGTTACTGCTCGCCTCACACCCTTTGGGGCCCCCCATCATCACTGGCAGTGGTGGTTCTCAACCCTGGCCATGCGTTTGCATCACCCGGAGACCCTTTACACATCCCAGTGCCTGCCCTCCCACCTCAGAAGTTCTGATCTCATAGGTTTGGTGTGGGCAGGTGCCAGTATTTTTAAGAGCCAAGTTAAGAACCAGTGGCCTGCAAAATAAATTCAGTTCCTGAGGCTGGTGTATAAGGCCTCCCATGTGTGTACCTACTTGCCTTCATGCTGACTCCCTGTGTCCCCTCCAGCATGCCATCACGTTTCACACATGTCACTGCGCACTTCCACACCTTTGCATCTTTCATTATGGCCTGGAATGCCATCACCCTAAGAGGCCTAGTATTTTTGATCCTTTCCCTGCAGTGTAGGTTTCCTTATTACCATAGTTCCTATAAAACTTTGTAATGGCCTGCTTTGCAGTCATCTTCCTGTATTGTGAATATTTTATCCATAATATAAGTTTTTCTATTCATAAGTCTGATCGTCTTTCTCTCATGCCTAAAACCCCTCAGTGCCTTCCCGTGCACTAGGAATACCTGTCTACCCCTCTTACTGTCGCCTGTAATACTCGACGTAATCTGAACCGGCCTCTTTCTCAGACCCCATTTCCTCCCACTTCCCACCATTCACTGCCCTGCAGCCTTGCCGGTCTTCTATTCTGAAAACACACCAAGCTTGTGCTCATCTCAGGGCCTTTGCATGTGTTCTTCCCTCTCCCTGAGCCATCTTCCCTCACCCTCTTCATTTGCCACCTTCCCAACAATCAGGCCTTCGCTCAGATGTCACTTCCTCAAAGCAGCCTTTCTTGAGGACCAGAGCTGAAGTAGCATGCTCATGCTCTCATCCTACTGCTTTAATGGTCTTTTAGGACATGCGCTATCTGACATGATATTTGTATTTTGTACATAGATTTATTGAAAGCCTTCCATTATGGGAATGTAAGTTCTATGAAGATAAGAACTTCTCTGTCTAGTAGGGTCTCAGTAAACATTGATGGTTGGATGTTACTTGTTCTGCCTTGGATAGTGCTGTGGCCGGCAGAGTAATAGAAAGAAGGTGTTGGATACATGGTTGATGAATGAACAGTTATAGGTCACAGTTGTTTCTCCTTAACAACCAGTGTGACCAGAGATCTCTAAATAACACTAATAAAAATTAGACTGACATACATATTCATGCTTTTTAATTTCTAGTTTAAAAAACAGGTGAAACAAATATTTTTCTTATTACAAAAAAATTAGGTTCCATCTCTCCATAACTTCAAGATCTCATTCTAAAACCTACACCAGTGGGCACTCCCTCTCTCCAGGGATCCAATCAGCCAGTAACAAAGGGAAAGAGGTTCCTCTGGGAATTAATTTTCCTCAAAGCCCCAGATTTAAACTGTGACTGCTGCTCTGAGCTAATAGGGGAGGAGAACATTTTTTTGAACATCTAAATTTGGTGGTTTCCAAATAGGTGATTGACGAGTGGAGACAGAGCTGGGCAGCAACAAGAGAGAACTGCAGGGACCTGTGCTGAGAATTTGGGTCCAGCACTCCCACGGCTCTTTCCCTGCAGTTTGCTCCTGACCTCTGGGCCCTTGTGAGGTCCTAGAGGAGGAGACTCAGGTTGCTGATGGCGGTGGTGACAGACGTCATTTCTTTTCCCCAGCCTGGCTCTTGCCATGGGATACCTAGAGGTGAAGAATAATTGGGAAGGTTGTCAGAAACTTTGAGAGCAAGTGTGGAAAAGCACTGGACTCCCTACAGAACACGGATCGGTCAGGTGTAATCTGAGGAGAAAGGGGTAGTAAGTCTGTTTTCCCACCTGTGAAACGAAGGGGTCAGGCTAGATGGTCTTTTGTGGCACCTCTGTTTTCACCTGCTCAGTCTGTAAGAATTTGTGAGCATTTTGCTGTTGAAGTGATCGGCATTCAAACTAGGCAAAGGGTAATCTGGTTAGCCTTTTTGTCTGCACATATGCCAGGTCTTCTCTGTGTGAAATTCCATGACACCCTTTGTTCTGTGGGACAATAGCAAATTGAGGCAGTAAGTCACCATTGTGTTGAGGCCTGGTTGGGGTGATCTTGTCTATGTAGTAGCCACTAGCACATGTGGCTATTAAAATGAAAATTATTTACAATTAAAATGAATTCAGCTTTTCAGTTATTTAGCTACACCTCAAATTGTCAATAGCCACATATAGCCAGTGGGGACTGTATTGCACAGATTATATATGTGGGTGTCCATCATCACAGAAAGTTCCATTGGATGATGGCGGTTTCAAGGGCACCCCTGCTAAGTTGTTAAAGTTGGAGAGCTGCTAAGACTCAACCATCTCTAAGGCTGAGTGATCCTGTGCCTTTGTTGGGAAGATCAGATTTCTGTCCTACCTCTGCTGTAAGTCTCCACCTTTGGAGGCTGAGGCTGGTGAAGAAGGACAAAAACAACCGCAGGGAGTTCCTGTCTGTCTGAGGACACTGTCATTCATCTCAAGAACTGCAGCAAGATTAAAAGGTGACAAGATGATACTGGAAAGCCCTTAGAAAAGTTGAAGAGTTGCATGAGTATCAGGCATGATGATTGTTAAGGGAACACATTAGATACAAGTCAACTTGGTCCCATCCCCTCCTTGATTTCCATCCCTCCAAACCAATCGAAGTGAAGTTGGAGTTGAAGCAGTGGGGTTTGGTTGCTGTTGACAACTGACTCTCTCTACCTTGTCTAAGCTTGGGAACCAGGTTAGAGTGAATGAAGGAGAGTTCAAGGAAAAGCATGGAGACTTGGCTTCTGCTAAGGAGAGTTGTTTGCCTTCGCTTTAAGGAAGCCCCCAGAGTGGTGGTGGGGGTTATGAGGTGTGCCTAGATTAGAGTCTCAGGTTGGAAACCTAGAGGACACTCCCTAGGGAGAGGCTTAGAGGTGCCGCCTTCTCTCCCAGGTGAAGAGTGAGCTTGTAGAAAAGGTGACTCTGTCTACCATCTCTGCATGTCTTTCTGTTTCTCCTCTTGTCTTTTTATCAAGGTCTAAACTGTCATGACAACATAGTATGTTATATATTGTATAAAAGGCACCTCTCTTGATGAATGTGGTAAGTATGTTCACATGCCCTCAGGCTTGGGTTAGGTTTCAGTGGGCCCCTGATGGAAGAGGACTCTGGAAGTGATTTGGAAGGGAACGCTATCTGTCACCAATGTCAACCCTGCCTCCAAACATGACACTGTGCTGGGATCTATAGGAAACCAGTGACTGAGACACAAACTCTGTCCTGGGTGGACAAACACCCAAACATAGGCACCTATGTTCAGAATACATACTTAGAGACTACAGCTCTGCATGTTGACTCTTGAATGGAAAGTCACGGACTTGTATCCTGTCTACTGACCGCATTATTTTGGGCTCTATTAGCCTCAGTTTACTTATGTGTAAAGTGGAAATGATAATGTCTTACCCAGAGATATGTTGTAGGAATGAATGATGAACATCTGTGTAAAGGAACAAGCAGAAGGCCTGGCACATTAAGTCACTGAACAAATTATTTCCATTCTCTTATGAGGGGTCAGTGTTGTGATTTGGATGGGAGAGATGGAGCAACCATGGAGAGTCCATGCTTGGAGACTGGAACCACTCCATTTTACTAAACATGTGGGCTCTCCAGGGTGTTCAAATGATAGAGTAGGCATAAGGGTGTGTGGGGTTACTGAGTCAGAGAGTCCCTTCCACAGGATAAGGGCTCATAGGTATGAAGGAGTCTATTTCTCTTCAATCTGGAACCAGTGGTTGATGTTTTAGCAGCTAGAGCTTCTGCCCAGCTGTAGGCTCTAGTTGGGCAGGGGCTGATACTTGTGGACACTCTACAACTACCTGTGCAGTGGGATCCTGGGGATAGAGGGTCAGTACGGATACTTTTTGCGGGGAGGAGAGGAGGATCGCCGTGGCTCCCTGATGCCTCATGTTCAGTGAAAAGCTGCTCCAGTCAGTCAGTGGTTTGACTGGTCTTTGCTGGAGGTTTAATTTTCTTAGTTCAGTTTCCCATTTTACTATAGAATGCCAGTGTATATTTGTGTGTGAGAGATGGGGGAGGAATTCTGACCAACAGTGGACTGACTTTCTTGTCAATAGGGGAGCAGGTAGGGGAGGAGTTGGGGGTGAGTCTCTCCGGATGCTCGGTTGGCCTGGATGTGTGTGTGTGGGGGTGCTTTGCTGGAGTGGGACTAAGGAAATTAGGATTAGAGTTTTTTCTACTTAAGAAACTAGATACAGAGGTGAGAACAGTCCTAATGTTGGACCAGTGTTCTGAGCACAAGAGGTGAATGCCCATCATTGGGTATGAAGTATAAGAGGAGAGGAGGCTGGCTTGGATAAAATGCAACCAAAAAGCATTTCAGAGTTCCTTTCTCAGAAAACACCTTGACAAAGCCT